CTATTTCCAGGAAGCAAGTAAATACATAGTAAAAATAATTACTTTTTTGCCCTTTCATATTGGCAAAAACTTAAAAGACTGACGCTAACCAGTTTTCTCCAGGGCTGGAGGAACGAGCACCCTTCACTCTGTGGGGTAGAAGTGCACGTCCTCTTTCCCCAGAGCCGCTTGGTGCTCTGGAGTGTTTATAGCCTTTGACTTAGCGATTTCAAACTAGGAATTTACTCTATGAAAAGGGTACATGTGCTACTATGGTGATTGCAGCGTTGTCGTAGCAAAAAAAAAAAGGGATATCCTAAATGTCTATTAAGAGGGACATGCTTAAATAAATCATAGTGTGGTTGGGCCTTGAGCAACACGCAGCACGGGACTCAACTGTGCAAGTCCACTGACGTGTAAATGCTATGAATGTATTTTCCTTACAATTTCCTTAATAACATTTGCTTTTCTCAGAATACAGTATATAATATGTATACAAAACATGTGCTAACCAACGTTTATCAGTAAGGCTTCTGGTCAACAGCAGGCTATTAGTGAAGTTTGGGGGGAGTCAAAAGTTATATGCATTTTTCAAGGGTCAGCTGTGTATCCATATCATAAAATACTTAGTAAAGAATGAGATTCATCCATATGTTTTGACAGACTAGGACCTCCGAAACATACAAATAAGTGGAAAAGCAAATCATCGTTCAGTGTGTATATTTGTAGGAAAAATACAACCATCTTTATATATGTATGTACAGACCTGCATAAAAGTCTGGATAACCACCCACCTATTGAAAGATGCCTAACTCTGGGAAGAGAGTAAAAAGTGAGACAGTAATTCTGCATGGCTTGCATGTTTACATCAAAATGTATTCATGCATTATGTAGTTTTTTTAATTTTTAAGTAAAAAATTTTAATTAATTGAAATCACTTTTTTTTTTTAAGGCTGAATCTTTCAGGTCAGCCTGTGTACTTTTCTGCAAATATATGCCAACAGTACCATTTTCTGGAAGTGATTTTTGTGAAGGAGTTTGCCTATGTATATTGGTTCTTTTCTGCAAATAATATTCTGAGCCTTTTGAGATGTAGAATCAGAAATTTTTTTTACCAAGTGGCTTTTTCTGTGCTGGGGTGTAGGGCCAAGGCCTCCTGAATCAGACTCGGATGACCTCGATGAGGACGAATTTGAATGCTTAGACAGTGATGAGGAGTTGGATTTTGAAACACGGGAGCCCAGGGAAGAAGCATCTGTAAAAGGAGCACTTAATGATCTCAAGTCATACATGGCCCAGATGGACCAGGAATTGGCCCACACCAGCATTGGCAAAAGTTTCACCACCCGGAAGCAAATGGTATACATGTGTTTAACTTCTTTCCCTTTCTGAGTCTGTTACAAAGAGTAGCTACAACCATATTTTATCTTAATAGGGTTTTTGGTTTGTGATAATATTTTTCTGATAAATTTGATTTTTTGATTTGAAGTAAATAAGAACACTAATTTTTCCTAACTCTGGAAAGATGAGGGATTATTAACTTTATTTTTCTAAACATAAGCTTAATTATATTACTTATTCTGTGTTATCTCTCAGGATTTAAAGTCATGTGATATGTTGAAATTAGTATGTGGGTTGCCCTGGCTGGTACAGCTCAGTGGATTGAGTGCTGGCCTGTGAAACAAAGAGTCACCGGTTCAATTCCCAGTCAGGGCACTTGCCTCGGTTGCAGGCCAGGTCCCCATTAGAGGGTGCGTGAGAGGAAAATCACACAATGATACTTCTCTCCCTCTCTTTATCCCTCCCTTCCCCTCTCTAAAAGTAAAATAAAATCTTTTTAAAAATTACTTTGTGGTTAAATACTATTATTAACCAATTAATTATCTAACACGAGAAATGGCCTTAAATATCCAAATATTTTTAAAGTATTAATAGTGATTGAATTGTATGTTTCCCTAATTTAGAGCCAAATTTAGAATTCATCTTCTACTAATGTCTTAAACTTAGTTTTTGTACCAGCACTGTCTAACCCTAGACAAAGAAATTAGGGAACTAGAGTGAACCCTGGAATTTCAAGGATCGGGGTTGGAAGTCTGTCTCTGCTGTTCACTGTGACTGTGTCCACTGACCAGTAACCTCACGTCATAGAATTAACATGAGAACCAAATGAAACAACAGTGAGACCCGCAGTGGGCCCTTAGTTTTGGTCATCTAAACCACATTTAAAACTATAGTCACTTCCAGTATTGCCCAAATCTAATAGAAACTATACATTACATTAACTAAAGCAGTATTTCTGAACTTTCCATGTGAATTTGAGCCACCTAATATTAAAATACAGATCCTGGTTAAGTGTGTCTGGGCTGTGCCTGAGGTTTGTGTTGCTAACGGCTCCTAAGCGATGCACATTGGAGTAGTGAAGCTGTAAAGGTTTATGGATCAAGTGGCATCTTGCATATTTTTTCCCAACCTGTCAAATCAGGCTCCAATAATGATTCAGAGTCTTTGTGGTTCAACTCCAAAAAGCATCAGGTTTTTACTTTTAAGTTTTTTCATTGGGAGCAGGGGGTGAAGAAAATCTAGTTTCTTTCACTTAGAAAAAAATATTTTAATGTTCCCTTTTTATGCTTTTTTAAAAAACTCTTAGGCATGCTATAAATATACCTCCTCAACCTTGGTTATCTCCCTTGGGCTATCTCAAAATAGGGAAGAAATTTGTTCAGTTTGTAGATGCTTTTCTTAGAAGTGTCTTACAACCTTCGGCACCAATTTTGAATACGTGTTTTAAATGACATGGTTTATTAGACTTCATTTTTACTTTCTATCAAGAATAATAATTTGGAATTCAGTTTTACATTGTTGCTTAGTTAGCTTTGAATTGTAACTACCATCAGTTCAATGGCATATCATCCCATGATTTCCTTTTCCCTCCGTGTATAAGGAATCTACCAGGAAGAATTCAGATGAGGAAGACAGTGGTGCAGGAGGATCTGTTTTGACACCAGTGGATGTGGACCTGAACCTGGTTTCAAATATATTGGAATCATACAGTTCCCAGGCTGGACTGGCAGGACCTGCTTCCAACCTCCTACAGAGCATGGGCGTGCGTCTGCCCGACGACAACACCAACCGCAGACCCGAGAGTGAGCCAGCGGGAGACTAAAGGCAAGCCTCACCTCTCTTTCTCTCTTAAATAAATGTTGAATCTGAGTGTGTTCATTTCTAGCTTACAGTGCTCTTTTAGTAGAAATGTTTCTTTATTACAGTTTTCACAGATTGCCCCTCAAGTGTTGCCCTCTCTGCAGGGGTCTCTGTGATCTCCGAGGGGTGCACACGGGCACTGAAGTCAGCAGAGAGAATCAAGCCCCTGAGAGGAGATTTACGTGCTCCTCGTTTACAGTGTTGTTTAGTTTTATTGAAGATTAAATGTTGGGTAGAGAAAGGAAGGTAGTCAAAAATAAGAAATGAGTTACTTTTTTATTCCAGGTACCAGGAATGACCTTGAGCCCAGCTTACTCTGGTGACAAATATATTTATTTTAATGTTTTACCTGCTTTTACTATTCTACTTCATAGGCCAGCGGGTTCTTTTTATCCTTAGCTCCTTCATAATGAATTGCCACATAAACATTCACCAGCCGGGTGAACCCTGGACCAAAGTTTCTTTTATGTATCTGTCATTTTCAGTATCCCAACCTTGTCCTCTTTTGCCTCAGCTTTCAGATACCCTTGGAGTTCTAAAGCAAAGCTCTCTTCCCACTCAGTGCCGGGAAGCAAAGTTTGATGTTGCAGCTTCCCCCAATAGCCACTCTCGTCTATTCTTTTCCCAAACAACACATTAATCCAAAAGCAAACAGTTAACCCAGGGTAAATTTGAGAAACGTCACACACTCCCCTTTCTGTCCTGTATTTTCAGACGGGGGATGTGTACACTTGTGCTCACAAACACACCCACACAGAGCTGGGAAAGGCTGGGATAAGGCAGTACACATGGACCCTGAACTGTTTTCTTCTAACTGCAAGATATGGGGAAATCTCAGGGCTTCTCTTTCTAGAGTGCCTTTCCCTTCAACATGCTGGGTTCAGCTCAGGTCAGGGCAAGCTGCCAATCTCGGCAATCAAGTCCCATCACATTTTATCCCTCAACATGTCCTGATGAATGAATGCACCTGGACTTCCCAAAGCAGTGACGGTTTGCTGGCAAGAGTGAGAACAATGGCCTTTTCATTTCAAAAGGGAATTCAGTGCTTCAGCTTTTCTAGTTCTGGAATCTCTTTTGCTTAGTCCTGTGGAACTCTGACGTATTCATAATCATAGGATCTTTGGCACTTACATATTTAACAAGTCAGTGTCTAAAATCATGGGAAGATATAGCTCTTTCCCCAGCCACACATTCCTCTCAAGCTGGCCTCCCTGCAAGGGTATTCATTCTCTGCCATTGCTTCGGTTCTTCGAGACTTGGAATCTGGACTTTAACATTTGTCACATGAAATTCTCATTTTCTGCAATTTCTTCACTCATAAAACAGAAAGTACATCTGAACAAAGGAGTGCAAATTTACTTTATCTCCTCCAGATAAATTCTCACCTATGACAAGATATAAAAATGGTGTACATGAATGATGAGAAATCCTAAGTTTATCCTTTAAAGCTCAAGAAATGGTTCGCCCTCACCAACCCCTTAGTTGACATTATAACACTGGACGTGAGAATGGCAGCAATCATACACTGAGGAAAACAGGGACGGCAAAGTGGTCCTCCCAGCCTTGGATCACAAACTGAGCAAGTAACGGCAAAAACCCTTCCCATCTAAGTGCCCCACTGAGAGGCAGTTACCGCAATAGAACATCATTGCAGAGCTCTGAGGGAGACCTCAGCTCCCACTTTCCTCGTCCCTTCAGTGACTTAAAGGACTATGACTTTTACTTCACTACTATGTACAAAATAATCACCTGTACATAAATTCAAAAATATGTTGTGCTATTTGTCTTAAGTCTATGAAGATAAAAAGTAACTCAGTGGGTTGAGATTTGCTATATATTTTTTAATAGTAAAAGTTTTAACCAAAATTATACCAGGCACATTTTGGCAGTTAGATATAAACCCAGCATTAACAAGCCACATGCCATCAGTTGTTTGCACCCAAGGTTTCGGAGAAGATGGGTGAACAAGGGCCTCCATCTGAACTGAAGCCATGGCCTTCCCCCTGGCTTTGACGGTTGGCATCCCAGTAGTCTCTCTTCTTACTCTGGCATCTCTGCTTGCCCGTGAGTAGGAACAGCTTTCACTAACACCGCTGGGAGAGGGGTCTTGCTGTTGGCTTGCCTTATTCTCTTCCTTAACATGAGTTTGGCCGCATATGGCATTTTGTCACCTCTCATTCTCGACTGACATTTGATACGCCCCTCTGAGATGCTGAGGGAGGGGTGTAGGTGGCCTGGTTTGAGCTAAGCAGGCAGGGAAGGATAGGTTGGTTTTTCCACCCACTCCTTAATCAGCTGGTGAGCAATGGCTAACTTAGGGGGCAGCCAGAATGGGAAAGTTCCATTCTGTTGCTTAGTATATGGGTTACTTCTCTTCAAGGCCATGACCACCTCATCATGACTGAACCAGGCAGCTGCTTCTAGTTCTCTCGAGTTCACCTGGATCTGAAAAACATAAGGGAAAACATAATGTAAGATTAGGAGCTACAAAATTTAGAGTATTATGGCCAAAGGTGAGAAGATGGTTCTAGAACTGGGCAATCTTAGAAGGTGATACCTGGGACCATAGGCTGGGAGATAATCAACTCTAGATATTACCCAGGAGCAAAAGAGGCATAATTAAGAGATAAAAGTTACATATATTTTTAATAGTAAAAAATTTTTAATATCCTGGAATTACAAGTACTAAAATATTGAGTGGTTAATCTGGAGGGTAAATTATGAATAATACTTGTTTTTCTTTGTGCCTCTGTTGACTTTATAACATACAAATGTTACTTTAAAAGATAAAGTATAATTAACAATACTCAAAGTCATAGAATCTCTTTGCAAGAAGCAAAGTAGTCATGGGAAGTCATGAATCATGGGAAGCCAGGAAAGATGAGATAGTATTCATTCCATAGGAACCAAAGCAGAACAGACAGACTTTGGTGGACAGGAACTGCAGCGCCATCTGTCAGAGTTGCTGTAGGAGAGCAAGGTAAGACAATAGCTAAGTACCTTTCAACCAGAAAGGAAGGCCTATAATCATTATTATTATGTAATTAACAATATTAATGATTATTAGTGCCCAGCATTGTGATTGGCTTGAGCAATAAAATAATCTCGAAATCAGTCATTAACTTTGGTACATTATGTGTCTAATCTATGGCAGATGCTGTGTTAAGTCCCGATGATGAAAGAAAAATTGTCTCATGACTGAGACATATGCAAGAAAGAATAGAGATCACGTTGGCACTCCATTTCCATGGTGATTATTTTCCTTACAAGATTGATAATTCCTTAAGGATAAATGATATCTTACACATCTTTGCATAATCTAGACAATGTTGGACTAGAAAGGTGCTTAGTGAGTAGCTAATGACAAGCTTGAATGAGGCAGACAAAATATCACAGCATATCGGAAGCCTCAGAACTGACCTCTGTCTGTCCAGGACTCACAGCTGCGTGACAGGCAATCATGAGTGAGCTGTTAGGAAAGGGCCAGTGCTGGGATGCAGAGTACTGCAGTCTCTCCACCTCCAAGCCCACCTCTTCTGCTACTTCTCGCCGGACAGCCTCTTCCAGACTTTCACCTACAAGCACTCAGATTAATTCAGGACAGCCCTGCAGCGGGAGGGGTGATACAGATGCCCATTTGTGAAAGAGCAAAACTGGCTCCAAAGTGCCATTGAAATACTCTTGGGAGAGCCTTAAATCTCTGAGTTTCTACAACAGGAATCAAGTCTAGAGTTGGGTGTTGAACTGCAATAGTTCAACCAACACAGTACAATGCAAAATAGTTACAACACTGAGTAAGAGTGGCAGTGGGAGAGGTTACTGCTCTCGTCAGCTTTAAAGAAATTCTAATGCCACATTTTACCATTTGCAAATTTTACACCGATAGACTGAGTGAAAAAAACATGTAAATAAATACTGAATTCTGGTTAATATTATGCATGCTCAAATATTTAGGGAGAGGTGTACTAACATCTGCCATCTATGCATCAAAAAAGAAGATGGATTAACGGGTAGATAGAAGTATGTGATAAAGTAAGTATAGGAAATTAGAGTCTAGATGGTGAGTGTATGGGTTTTCACTGTACAGTTCTTTCAACTGTACTGTTTGTTTGAAAGTCTGCCTGTAAAATATTGGAAAATTAAATGCCAGAGGCGTTTTCTTGACATAACAGGGGAGGATATGCTTGACACCCCAAGCACTATGAGAGCAACACAAAAATAACCACTACTGGTATGTTTTTGTGTCTTCCAGTGTCATCTGTACATGCCCCTAAACTTACCTATATCACAAAAACCTGCCAAGGCAGAGTACATTCCCTTGGGGAAGGAACTCTGGCGGACAAGCAGGCATCGAGTCCCATCTGACACCAGCGTGATCACCACAGGAGCCATCTAGGAAAAGGGGAAGGAAACTAGGGTCTTGGAGCCTGTGAGTGGGATGAAGGCATGGGTCACCAGGGAAAGCCTTTTAATTGTACCGGCTTCCATCCCCAGGACAGAGCAGTGCGCAGTCTCCTTGGATCACTGGCCATGTAATGCTGTGCTTACCTGTGGATAATAGATGATCTTATTAGAAGGGCACACACGCTTGCTGCCAGCCACATTCTTCTTGGTGGGCTGCCCACTTCTACTGCAGAACTGATGAGTATCATGCCAGCGGAGGAGGGCCTGAGCCTAGCAATACAAAGATGGGCTTGGTTTCATTTGGAGAGAGCGTGAGGCTCATCTAAAATAGTGCAGGGCCTAGGATTCGGAACAGCTCAAAGGGAAATGCTAATGCCTTTCCAGTTCACCTACTTTACATGGTTATTAAACTTTCAAATAAGAAAGCTATCAAACCTATTCCTCCTGCATCTGAAATATAAGTAAAGCACATTTTAAATGTATTATGAATTACTTAAAATATATGTAATATATAAAGAATTATAATAAAACCCCATGTACTTAGGACCCAGCTTAAAAATAAAACATTTCCAGCCCTGGCTGGTGTAACTCAGTGGATTGAGAGTGGGTTGCAAACCAAAGGTTCACTGGTTCGATTCCCAGTCAGGGCACATGCCTGGGTTGCAGGCCAGATCCCCAGTAGGGGGTGCGTGATTGAAATATCAATCACACAGTGATATTTCTCTTCCTCTCTTTCTCCTTCCCTTCCCTTCCCTTCTCTCTAAAAATAAATGAATAAGAATCTAAAAAAATAAAACATTTCCAATATAGTTGAACATCCCAACATGTATTCCTCCTCAATAAAATTTGAATGCTTTTGCAAATAAAAGATGTTTATTTAGAGATATCTCTAATTAAACAGATAATCAAAATCACTTTAGCAAGTGAAATGTAAAGCTGTGAGGATGAGTGAAAGCAATAAAAATAGTGTCTCATAGAAAAAACATGATGCACGACATGCTGTGGGTCATTAATAATGTTTATGAGGCTGACAAATGCCATAGATCTGCAGGTATTGGTCCTGACAGCAATCTTGCCAAAAACAAGGACGGAAGAAAGAAGAAGCAGTCTCCCTACAGCACACTGTCCTTCTGCCAAGGTCGGTGGGGAGAACTATAATCTGGAAAAGAACCGTAGTCCACTCTAGCCTTGTGTCACGCACACAGTTGTTGCCCTTGTACCCTGCTTTACTAAGTTTCCTCCAGAAATGAGAGGTCGGAACCTACTGTGGATAGCAAGGAGGCATCCTTCGCATTCAGCCGAAAGAGAGCCTCCCTGAACTCAGTGAAAGACCCCTTGAGCTCTGCCTCCACTTCTGGTTTCTGTAGGGAAGCTAGAAAATTAGAAAAGAGAATAAAATGAAACAAATGTCAAACTGCCTCAGGCCCCTCTCAAGTATATCTTGTTGAAACAGTGCTGCCCTAGCTTCTCAAATAAGACTCAACTAGGGCAAATAAAAGATATATAGTTTCTCAAGCCCTGTGTGGAGATTCTGAACAGCCAGTGAGTGAAGCCCAGAAATCTTTTTTAACAAGCACCAGGTGATTCTCAATATTTGGCAAATTTGGGAAACAGCATAGTGCTAGTTCCCAAGCTCCTTTTCAGGGCAAGAACATCTGTGCTGGCCAAACACTAGCCCTGGAAAGAAGGTGGAACAGGACATAGGTGCCTATCTGAACCTCCAGTCGGCTCGGAAACCTTGGGCCACACCCTGAAGCAGAGGAGAGGCTGGGGAGGAGCCACGCGCTGCGGCAAACAGGCTCCCAACGCAGCACTGCAGACCCAGCACTACTTCAAGGTGACCCGTTTATCCACTGGCATTGATAAGAGATACAAGAAGGATGTCATGAATTTTAAAACATTTCCTTCGAAATATTTATGACCGAAAATATATAAAGGTACAGAGAATAATACAGTAAACATCTTTGTATCTTCCACCTACCTTAGAAAGAAGGCATTAAAATTCCTTTATTTTAAATGGCAATAGTAGATGGTACTATCTTTTTATGTCCTAACTTAAAAACAGAAAGTTGACAACCTTTCTCTAGTCCCAAATCTTTTATTTTTTTTTTGAAATTTTTAAATTCCCCATAGGAATAATGTGTGTGTGCACCACTCGTGGAAGAGGAGTTGTTTAGACCCAGGTCCAGAGCAAACCATGCTTCGTGCTGTTCAGAGCCTCCAATCAGCACAGAATCTTCTACTCTTTGTGTATCCTGTCCAAGCTTTCCCAGGAGCTTTTCCAACTCTAAGAAACATAAAAGGAGAAGGAGAAACACAAGGGCTTTCATTGAACCACCTGAGCCATCTTACAGGAAATCATCTACATCAGCCTGAAGCAGGCATACCTAGCTTCAGTGGCTGCCCTGCAGCTAATTAGCTACATAAACTTGGTCTAATCGCTTAATCTCTCCAGGCCTCTGTTTTCTCATCAGCAATCTGAGGAGCTCAGACTAAAGAAGGAATTCTTCCTGTGTAACCCTGCATCACTCTGTGACCGTACCATGAAAGGAGCATGTCCTCTAGTTTAAAAGATCCATGGTAGTTAACTTATCATGGCACTGAAAAAAGAGTCACATTTAAAATGGTAGAGACCAAATCAATTGCATAATGTAGTCTCCAGATTATGCCCCTTCTGTGGGCCAGAGTAGAACGAGTGTCCGGGATCCCAGTCTGTGGAAGACAGATACTGTCTCAGGAGAAAACCCCTGTCCTCCTGGGCATGAAAGACTCCTATTCATTTGTTCATAATACAATAACACGTTGCTAAATCTCTAAATATTTAGTGCCTTCTGATGGCATCTTCTTCTATATTCTCATATTCTTCTGTAGTGCTAGAAGCTCCCTATTTGGATACTCCAGCATCTGCCCATGAAAGAAATTAATGGGCAATGTATATTGAAGTTAGTCCATGTACAGCAACATCATATAAAACTAAAAGTATCTTGAAAACCAAATCTCAGCAGTTTAGACATCTCCAGTTTTATACCCCAAGAGAGTTCTAGAAACAAATTAGTTTTAATTCACTTTTAATTTTGACCCTTCCAGGAGAAATGAAGTCGCAATGCAAATTCTTGCCAGTATACCAGTGCTCTGCTCCGTGGAAGCTGGAAACCACGTCTAAGGCAGGGGGTGGCCAAATCTTTTAGGCTCTTGAGCTTTGTCACAACTACTCTGCTCTGTCACTATAGTGTGAAAGCAGCCATAGACGATCTGGAAATGAATGAGGGTGGCTGTGTTCCAATGAATTGTTTTTTAAAAAACGTGGCAAGTTCCAATATGGATGGCAGTTTTGCCAACCCCGCATTTAAGGCAGTAGTGGTTCAGACCATTCCCCAAATACTAGTTGACTGGGCAACACAGGTTTATACACTAAGTAATTAGTTGACAGAAGCAGTTTGAAAACACCTGTCCTTTAAAGCTGGAGGATCCTTCTCAGGGATTCAATATGGTCTGAGTTCTGCTTAGTGGCCACAGGGTGGTCTGCTCTACTTGGGGCTTACCTACTAGGCTATACTGGGGCAGCAGGTATTGATGTTCTGATTTCTGAAGCAAAGGAGCCAGGTTATGAAAGAGGTAAAATGCTCCTGTCTGCTGGGCTTTTTTACATGCATCATCATCTTCCTTCAGTTCAAATAAATACCTGTGTTTTGGAAATAAAGCATTATGAAGCCACATTTATTCACTTGTACAGCATCCATCTTCGAGAATCCTGTTCCTGCACCCCTCTCCTACCACAGTTACTTCCTCTTACTTACACCCCCGCCCTGCTCTCTGAAGGATCTGAGGTGGCTGCAGGTAACCAGCGTCCCCTTTGTCCTGCAGTATACCTCGCCAGTTCTGTGCTTGCCTTTCTGTTGTACTAGCTGTTAATCTGTCTGTCTCCCCACCCAAAAGATTATGATCTCCTTAAGGGCGGGGTCTGCCTTACTTCTTTATCTCCAGTAATTAGCATATTGAATGGCTCAATTCCATAAATATTTATTGAATGGAGGAGCTTCAAGGGTAATAAATATTTACTGAATTGAACCTCAGGGTACTTTGCCAATATTGCACTGTGAGGCAAGAATTTACCTGCAGTGGATTGAAAGGAAAACAAGTTCAGTGATAAAACATCAACCACAGAATACCTGGAGGTGGAAGCAGACTTCACTGTTGCAGACACAAAGTAAACACTATACCTTCAGTAACTCTCATTCAGTCTAGGGAAGATAAAGAGCATGTTTCATCTTCGATGCGAGCTTCTTTCAACTATCTAGTCCCCCAGGTGGACACCATTTGCTCCTTATCCTTACTGAAGGGACCACTGATGGGAAAGGGAAGCTATTACTTGACTTATTTAAGAAGAGTAATATTTTCAGTAGGCAAAATAAAAATGTGGAAAAGAGAACACTGTATAATGAGCTTCTATTGTAAAAGAAATGGTACTGGCACATGTCCTAGGCTTTTCCATTGTCTTCATTTAAAATGGCCTAGGTCTATCCTTTTAGGAGCCTTGGTAATCCTGTCAGCTTCCCTATGATGTGGGGGGGGTTGGGGAGACAGAATGTAGATTCTCTCTGGGCCTTAGAGATAACTATTTTTGCCTGTTAAATGACCTAGAACAGACTCTTGGGTATATGGCACAATTCGTCACTTAAACAGGAAGCCAGGTTTATAGATCTGTTCTGTAGGATCTGCGTGCTTTTATAACACCGCAGGCAGAGTGGCCTCAACATAAAACTAAGAAGCAAAATGATAAACATAACTCAGCAACGTCTTTAGAAACCTATTTTTGACTGTGATAAAAGGGGTTACAAAGATCTCTTTATGGACAAAAGACAAAGGAAACCTGAGATTTTAATACCAGTGATATTTTTAAACTTATCCTGAGTGACTGTAGCCTGCTGGGGCAAAGACTCAATGCACGTCAAAGGAGGGACATGTGCCCCTGAGAAGTTCCCAAATATAAACAATAGAACAAACACAGCCGCCTTCGTAAAAGAACGGAAAGAGTGGTACAGCCCGTACTTTGCCCTAATGACCCTAAAAAGCAAAACAGGGAGGTTAAGGTCTTAAACCTGGGGCCTCCCTCATTGGAACTGGAACTGAGATCCAAAATGATCAGAAACACCATTTTTAAAAGTTCATTTTCCCCCTTTAGTTATACTAGCATGGAAACCATAGAATTAAGATCAAACTTAAACTGTTTTTTTAATATAACTGTGTTTCCTGATTTTTATAGAATGATTAAGTAAAAAATAATCATTCTATAAAAATCAGGAAACACAGTTACCAATTTTTTTATAAAAGGAAATCATCAAGAATCCCACAACTCAGAGATGATCACTGTTTACACCTTGGAACTCTCCAAACTATCAATATTAGACATGTATACATACATACATAGGTCTATTTAGAATCATACCTACTAATTTGTAGCCTTTTTTCTTGAACATATTAACATTTTTTACACTATGTTCCTTAGCAATAGAATTACTTTTCTCATGACTCTCGATTCATTTTTAAATATATTTAATCACCTTAACGCTCATTTTTAGATGGTTCAGTAATTCTGTTATCATTCTCAGAGTCTCCGCCTAAAAACTGTGAATAACCGAGAGCCCAACAACACTGGAAACAAACACTGCAGTTCGGTTGTGTTCTCACCGTTGCTCGTGTAAGGCTGCATGCTTCCGTGCCTTTACACCTCGGACTGGCACTCACGTTTGGTGGAGCTTTCCACGTGGGAACCCTGGCCGTGCGTGTTCCCACCAGAGGAGTTTTACAGTTGCTTCTGCAGGGTACCCGAGGTATTATTAGTCTAGGGCCACTACTTAAATTCTTTTCTTCAATACGGGATTTTTGGACCACGCCATGTCAATGATACAGATTTAACCTCCCAAACTGTGTGCGAGCAGGCTAGTGATCTCAAGTTCACAGATATCAAATGTGCCCAGGCTGTGACAAAGAAGTTAGTTACCATTCTCCAATACTGGTACAGACTTATGTTTTCTACTTCACTGACGTTTAGTTCTTTGGTGGCAGTGGGTACCAGAATTGGAGTTATTTACCTTATTCTCAAGAAACTTCATGAACTATTATTCAGTATAGTTTTAAATTCATTCCATCGTATGGGTGTGACATCATTTAATTTCTCCCTAGCCGCTCATTCCACCGTGCAACAATGCTTCAGTGTCCGCCATGTGCCATGCACTGTCATATGCACCAGGAGTATAGACAGAAAAGACACCATCCCTGTCTTAGTAGAACTTACATTGAAGCATGTCAGCTATTTTAGATATTATTGGAAATTTAGTTTATTTTAAAATGTTCCAGTTACAAATAACTTTCAGTGAACATCCTTATACATAAATCTTAATCACACAACCTTAGTCCTCAATGTAGAATTTTGAGATTTTTATAATTTAATGGGCTGACATTTGAATAATCAGAGCTTAGATTGGTCAAAACTCACCGGGTCTTAGTGATATAGGTCGACAGCAGCCTGTAGCACCAAAAAGATTTTCTCCTGCAAGCAGTCCCACCGTACAAAGACATTGTCGGGCCCCTAGAGGAAAGAGTTAAAAACAAAACATCATAGTATGCAATTTAAAGTAATGAATCACCCAGAGGGTTATACTTTAAGCCAGAATAGTCTTACTTTTTAATATTAAGAGAAACTGAATAGGAGTCAGGTGATCTGGCTTCTAAATTGCATTTCTACCGTAAACTAGCTGTGAGATTTTAACTTTTCAATACCTCTTCCCTAATTAAAACCTGTTCTGCCCAACTAATCTGTGGTTATGAGACTCAGCTAACTACGCACAGGTAACGTGTGCTCGTCCTTCCATATCGTGGATCTCTTGCTGGAAGGTAGTTGCTGAACTAAGGCCCACATTTCTCTCCTCCTTTGTACGTAAGTGGGGCCAAAACTGGCTTAAGAATGGAATGTGAGTGGAGTCACATTTCTCTCTTCCAGGCTGAAGTGGTTCAGAAGTGGCTATGCCTCTTCATCCTCCTACTCCCCTTCTGCTTGGAAGATTCTAGATGGCAGACCCATTAGATGGAGACCCTTGAATCACTACATGGAGAAGAGCCACCCACCCCCCCAAAACCCCCCAACCTTGGACAAGTTATGAGTGAGAAATGAATTTCTACCACAGTAAGTCACTGAAATTTCAAAGTTTGTTACTGCAGCTAGCATTACTCTAATAGACCAAGTGAGTCTGGGAGTGTCCCAGAGTAATGGGGCCACATTTCTCAGAATACCTGAAAACCAAAGTCCCTCTGAATATGAAGTAGATAGGAAAAACACAAAATCATGGCCATTAGAAAAATATTTCAAAAGGCAGCTATGCAAATCTACATGGATCTAAGGTATTTTTTTTTAATTTCATTGTGAGAGAAAAAATGCTATTATCCTAAGAATGTATTTTGCAGAAGGTGATTCCTTTTAAATTGTATATAAGTAAATATTTTATTTCCCATGAAAAGCACATTTCATATTAGCATTACAAGTGTCAAAAAGTCCCACTGAAATGAGAAAATCAGTACAGTTAAATAACCAGCCACCCTTTTAACTATGCCCAAGGGAAACACACTTTAACACTAAACCACCAAGGGACGTCTAAATTTTAGGCCTCCTTCTTGGTGGCATAATCATGAAACGCATATGACTAATCTTTGGGCAGTTTTGGCTATGTTGGTCCTAACCAAGGGTAAATTATATTTAGCAAATGACATTCCACCAAGTATTTACTGAGCCTGACTTTATGCAAGGGCCCTTAATGAATACAAAAATGTACAGGTTGAAAAGCCTGCTCTCAAGTGACTCCAGCAGGAGAAAGAAAACAAATAATCTCACAGAAGGCGGTATGTGGTACGCAGGTTACAAAGCCCCTAGGAGAGTATTAACAGTGATCACACTTACACGATACACTGGAAGAAATGTATTTAGAGCCAACATTTCCTCCTCATATATATCTCTGAGAACGTAATAAACACTGCTTTACCTAGCAATTCCACTTCTAGGAACTTATCCTAAGAAGGAAAGGATATGTAGAGGAAAATTAAATGAAAGTTATGATCAAAGGAAATAATACACAGCTGTTAAAAAATAAATAGAAAATAAAATAACAGTAGAAAAATATATGTGTAATAAGCAGGAAAGATATTCAAGATATATTAAGAAAGTAATTTTTGGTTGGTTTAATCTGATTTAATTAATTTATAAAGAAAAGAACATATATTGCCCTGGCTGGTGTGACTCAATTGGTTGGGGTGTCATCAAGAAACCCAAAGGTTGCAGGTTCAATTTCTGCTCAGGGCACATACCTGGGTGGCAGGTTCGATCCCCAGTCTGGGCATGTACAATTCCCAGTTTGGGTGCGTACAGGAAGCAACCAGTGAATGCTTCTCTCTCACATCAGTGTTTCTCCCCCTCCCTTCCTCTCTCTCTCCTTCTCTCCCTCTCTATCTAAAGAAAAAAAAAGCAATGAAAAAAATCTCCTCAGTTTAGAATAAAAAGAAAGAAAAGAATATATATACATATAAGAATATATAAATTAGATACATATTTATTCAATATTTGTATTTTTTAAGTGACTAGAAGTTCACATAACAAGCCGTTAACAGTGACTAATTTGGCAGAGCAGATGGAAACAGAGATTGAAAAGGGTACCTGTAATTTTTACTTTATACATTTCTGTACTTCAAAAAAAATCGACCATGTGTACACACTCCTATTACAATAAAATAAAGTAGAATGAGGAGTAGTTCCTGGGACTAACCGCACAGTAAGGCTATTTCACTGTGGAAACAGGCCATTGTTTCCAGTAGGACCTCATCACATTCCCTGGGAGCCAAAACAAATGCCCTTGGAGTTGTCCTTGAATCCTGAAAATTGTAAGAGCTGTTTGGTTGTAGTCACGACCAGGATGACCTGCGTGGCCCACTGCACTTGCTTGCCTGATGCTTTGCCTGGTTTCTGCCGGTAAATCCTACCCCTTGTGAAGCACCTCGACCTGCTAACTCATGGGATGGGGGTTGCAGAGCTTGTAGAAGACATGGGCATGTATCACAGAAATGTGCACTTGAAACCCACATGATCTTATTAACCAATGGCATCCCCAAACATTTAACTTAAAAAAAAAAGAAAGCGCCCTGGCTGGTGTGGCTCAGTGGAGTGAGTGTCAGCCGTGAACCAAAGCATCTCCAGTTCCATTCCCAGTCAGGGCAAACGCCTGGGTTGCAGACCAGGTTCCCAGAAGGGGGTGCACAAGAGGCAAACACGCATTGATGTTTCTCTCCCTTTCTCCTTTCCCTTCTCTCAGAAATTAAAAAAAAAGAAAGAAAGAAAGAGAACATGATGAAGTTCTTAATGTAGCTTTAAATAATATCAATAGTCAAGAGCAAATCTAGAATTATTTAAACTGAGAATTGTACCTTTGTTGGTATAGTCATAAGCCTAGAAGATTAAGTCTAATTCCTTTTTGAATGGCCCCCTGTATATTTTTATATCATTTTATATAAAAGAAGTATAAAGTCTATTTAAAAGTATAACTACCTTACAGAACATCTGGCACACAAAATTGTGAGAGCACCCATTATATTACCACATAAAAATAACTTCTACTGAATATATATTTTCTAGACTTTTTACTTATATAATTTTTACATATTTATAATCAGAGGACATATTTTTCAACTTGCTTTCATGAAACATGTTATAAGCAGTCTTCAATGTTTTTATGGAAACTTCATAATTTTTTTTGCTACATAATATTACATTCAAACATACTCATACTGACTTCAGACATTTTAGGTTGCTCTGATTTTAAAGTATCAGAAATACCACCTGAATATCTCTGTGCTGATATTTTCAAGTTATTTTTTTTAAGATGTTACCCAAAGTAGAATTACTGGGATAAAATTTATTTTAAAATCAATGGCACTGCCCTGGCTGGTGTGGCATAGTGGTTTGGGCATCATCCCATAAACCAAAGGGTGGTCGGTTCGATTCCGAGTCAGGGCACATGCCTGGGTTGCAGGCCAGGTCCCCAGCTAGGGGAGCACAAGAGGCAACTGATTGATGTTTCTTTCTCATGTTGATGTTTCTCTCCCTTACCCTGTCTCTAAAAATCAATAAATAAAATCTTTAAAAAATGAAAAATAAAATCAATGCCTCTTTCTACACATTGTCACACTTAAAAAATTTAATAGCATTTGGTTTAAAAGAACTTTTCTATTTCTTTGATCACTATAGAGATTGAAAGTGTTTTCAGATTTAATAGTCCTTGTTCCCCTTTTGAAAACATCTGATGTCCAGTGCTCATTTATTAATTGTGGTTTTACTCTCCTTTTTGACCATTCTAATTTTTAAAATATTATAGCCAGTTGGTGAAAGACACATATATGATCTCACTTACATGTCGAATCTAATGAACAAAATAAACTGATGAACAAAATAGAAACAGAGGCATGAATACATGAAACAGACTGACAGCTGTCAGAGGGATGGGGTGGTGGGGACCAGATCACAGCACGTGAAGGACTTAGCCAAAGGACACACATGCATAACCCACAGAGACAGACAACTGTGGTGATGGGCAGAGAGAAGGGGAATGGGGCGGTGGGGGGGAAGGGAGTGGGCAAAGCTGGGGGAAATGGGGATATTTGTGATATCGTAAGCAAAAAAAATAAAGTTAAAAATATAGTGCATTTACAGCACATTTCACAATTTGATCACCAACATGCACCATAGGAACCAACTGCTCTATGTATTGTTTTTCTCTTTGGAACAGTCATTCAGGTTGAACCTCAGTACCGAAATAAAAAGGGGCTCTTTTAACAGTCAAGAGGATATGTGAGATTTTAGGATGAAAATATAATTTCTTATAGCCCTATACTATTCAGAAATCTACTAGAGTGAAAATTTGCTACTTTTTTCTGAACCACTGGTGACTGTTTTACTATCTTTTGGGATCCTCAGTGTGATGCCTAACTCCAAGTGTATTGGCCCAGGGCTCAGGTTTGGCCAGCGTGCCACCGTACTCACGTCCTTCTGCTCAAAGGCCACTTTACAAACAGAACAGCTGTCAATTGTTTGAATCAGTGGCTACTGCTGTGTCTTAATGCCTCACGCACACTGAAGATAAAGTTCACTATTTACAAAACACATTTGGCAGAAAATACCGGCACCATTGTTTTACTTTAGATGACAAGCTTAGGCCTGCCTTCTGTTTTGTTTACAGTACAAATGCAGGTCTCCAAAGCGAGGAAGAACAGGGACATAAGCACTGGACAGACTCCGGTCCTTTTATCCCTGGCTCCCCCACAGACTGAACGTGTGGCCTGGGGCTATCACCTAGCTTGTGGGAGCTTGGTTTTGGTCTCACTTCTCACTGGAGGGGGAGGCGGGGGCAAGGGGAGGAGAGAATAAGGATCTCAGTAGATCACCACTACATCAGCTTTTGCATGCCTACTTCTCAGGTCTGCTCAATTGTAAAATCCTTAAAGGTGAGGATTGCGTCTTCCCCATCTACAACAGCTAGCACAGTGTAAAACACAATATATTTATATTACTACATGAGTGAATGAATGAATCCATCCCATTTTACAAGATAAAGCTTTGAGAAGTTAACCAGTCTGAGACCACAATCCCAGGGAGCAGCAGAGTCAAACCCAGGGCTACCTGGCTCCAAAGCTCATGTTTTGATAAATATATGGGAAAGCATTTTCTAATATTCATTTTACTATTTATGTTTTTTAAAAGTACAAAGGCTGATAGACAGGAAAGGTAATACTGTTTTACTGAAAACTATTAAATTATGAGGCAAATCCCTTAAGAGTCACAATTTCTCTGATCCCCCTTTAAAGAATGGTTCACATGCTTCTCATCCTGTTCATCTTAACAGAAGAGAGATTAATTTGTCAAACACTACAGCATGACAAAAAAGCCCATCTTGAATCTCCCTGGTTACATTTACCAAGAGGCTGGGCTGGTAGTGTTTGAGAGCCCTTTTCAGAGGGTCTGTCTTTTCATTACCGCGGACCATAATGAGAGGGGGCATATGCAAAACTGAGAGGCCACTGGGATACAGATCTCAAGATCTCACTAACCAGCATTATGGTTTACTTTCTAAAAATGAATTTTCCCTCCTTTAATTCAAAAATAACTCAGGCACAATGCAGAGAAGTTAGCAAATCCCATTTTCGAGTGACTCTCAAAAAAAGTACCAGAAAATTATTAGCTGTGGTTAATAAGATAGTTCCACAAATTATGATACAAAACTGTGGTCATTCCCTGGTTTCTGCAAGAAGGAAAAGGGGCTAAGCTGGAACTGCAAAATGCTGTAACTAAGAGGGTTTTTTCCAAGTTCTGCTTATACTTTCTCATAAAATGCCTTCTGTACTTAGAACCTGAACTGTTTTCTGTCCAGTTGTACTCACTCTGAATTCTGTTGGGGGTGCCGTTGTAGGCCTCAAAATCAGCAAACGCCAAGAAACTTGAAACGTTCCTGGGAAGTGGGGCTTCCCTTCCCAGAGGGACTCTGCCACACTTCCCAGAATCCTCCTGGGCATGCACTCTGGGAAATGTAGTTCAAGGTTTATGTGCTCTGCTAAGCCCTCCAGTGGCACAGATAACATGCTTGTGAAAAGCATGATCTTCTGAGGTTTTCTAAATCCATTACGAGGAGAACTGTGCATTTAGAGAAGGCGAAGTAGCATTAGATCCATGTTTTGAATAAGACAAAAATGAAATCATTAAACCAATTATACACAGAGCATATTTTGTGGGGGAAGGGGAGGAGTTTGAGGCCAGAAATCACATACCTTTCAACCTTTCTGTACCTTTAATTCTCTCTCTACCTACTTTTTTTTTTCTTCAAAATAAACACCATTTTTACATGAGCTTTTAGGAAAAGAGGCAGGAGGATTTATTTGCCTTTCCAGGCCTTGGCTTTCCTCAGCTAGAGCTCCAGCTGCTGGCCCCCTAACACGGAGCCGTCTGCGTGGCCAACACCGGCCTGGCCTTGAAGCGACGCACGCGAGAAGCTTGTCCTGCTCGAACTGCTCCTCGAGAAGACGGCTGATTGTGGCGTTCTTTTCCCTTCATCGTATTTCTTCTGAATTTCCTTTGATCATTTTTTGTTTAAAATTTCTTCCCCCTCAGGAGTCAGTTCGGCCTCTCTTTCGCAGCTCAGGGGCAGCGGGAAACTCACACTGCTGTCACCATGCAGCTCCTTACCAGGGTCTCCGTGCGGACCAGTCCTTTGCTGGGTACGTTGTAGACGACATCAGCAATCCCTGTTCTGCACGTGCAGCACCCCAAGCCCAGGAGAAGTTGCCCTCATCAGCCTCAAGGCTCGGTACTTCCTGCTGCCTCCCCACACACGGACTGTGTACGCAGTGGGGGCCGATCTTAGGTGGCAGCAGGGTGTCCCAGCCCATAGTGTCACTTCTTGTGGCAGGGCTTTCTCTTGCCGCTGCCGTCTTGTGGCGCTTGCGCCAGTTGTGCCGAGATCAGATGCCTGTGGCTTGCCACTGAACGGAAAAACCTTTCTGCCCACTTTAGAACTAGCTCTAACATTTCATGAAACTGCCAGTTTAAACGGACAAGACTGTCTCTAAATGTGCTTGAACTTACAATAGAACCCATCCCTTGACCAACCAGGGCAAGAGAATTCCACCTGGCTGAAAGCAGTTTTTCGGCAAAAGTACATTAATGCTGTTCTCTTCTCACTGCGAAAATTACTTGCTTCTATGAGAAGACAGTTTTGAAGGCCATCCAGTCAACATGTATTGAATGGATACCAAATGTGCCTGGGATTGTTATTGGCACAGGATATCACAGTAAACAAAACATGAAGACGTCTGCCCTTGTGTAATTATTCTAGAAGAGAAAACAAATAACCAGACAAGTAAATATACAATGTGTCAGGTGGTTGTAAGTGCAAGGAAGAGAAATAAAGCAAGATAAGAGGAGGAAGGATTTTGCTATTTTATATAGGGTGGTCCACTCCATGGATAAGGTGATATTTGAGCAAAGACCATAAAGGAACTAAAAAGGAAAGCAAAATGAGTATCTATGGGAAGAGGTTTGTAGGCAGGAACAAACCCCAACAAATATAAAGGCCCAGGGCGGACGTGTGCCTGGCAGGTTTGAGGAAAGGCACGAAGTGTGAGACGCGGTCAAAGAGCAGCCAGACCACGTAGGGCCTTACAAGTCACAATCATTACAGAGCCATTGTAACACTTTTTAAAAAAAAACTTCTGAGAGGGTTGGGATATTACAGAAGAGTTTGAAGAGGAAAGTGAAATGATTTAACTTACATTTTAAAAGAAACACTCTCAGTGTGAAGATTAGACTGTAGGAGGTAAGAATTATTAGATCCAGAGTCGTTGTTAAGATGTACCTACATTGGGAAGGAGGAGTAACCGGTCTGATCAGCACCCAAGCTTTTTAGAGAGTGCATCTCACACAGGCTCAGGGGGTGTGGGTGTGGCAGAAGCATGCTTTTGACAATGCTTAAGGAAGGAAGAGGAAATTTGAGGGAAACAAGATATAAAGTTAAAGAGTTCCAAAAAGATGGGGAAGGATACATAGGGAAAGTTAGGGCTCTAATAATTTTTTTTATTAATTAATTTTTTTAGAAGGGGAAGGTAGGGAGAAAGAGAGGGAGAGAAACAGCAATGCGCAAGAGGTACATCCATCAGTTGTCTCTCGCACACCCCCAACCGGGGACCTGGCCCACAACCTGGGCATGTGCCCTGACTGGGAATCGAACCAGTGGCTCTTTGGTTCTCAGGTCAGCATTCAATCCACTGAGCAACACCAGCCAGGGCATGGCTCTAATAATTTTTTTAAAAAATTAAAATAACTATTTTTGAGCAACTAAGCATTAAGTGCTATATAATAAAATAATATTATGGTCTGAATGTTTGCATCCCCCAAATTTCTATGTTGAAATCCTAATGCCCAAGGTGATATTATTAGGAGGTGAGGCCTTTAGAGGGTGATTTGGTCATGTGAAGAGAGCCCTGATGAATGAGATTAACGTCCTAATTAAAGAGACCCGATACAGCCCCTTGGCCCTTTCACCATGTGAGGATACAGGGAGAAGTTGGCAGTCTGCAGCCTGGGCGAGGGCCTTCACCAGAAGTCAACCATTCTGGCACCCTTATCTCCAGCCTCCAGAACTGTGAGAAATAAATTTTTGTTGTATATAAGCCATCCAGCCTGCAGTGTCTTGCATTAGCAGCCCAAACAGAGTAAGACAAATAACTAAGATTAACTGAGCATTTACTGTGTTCTGGGCACTATGCAAAGTGTTTTGCTTATTTATCATTAATCCTTACATTCTAGTTGTTACTATTTGCACTTTATAGATGAGAACACCAAGGCCATACCCTTGACCACAATAACGTGGTATAGACCTGGAGTATATCTCTGACTGGGTGTGTGGAGCAGGAAAGCTGATGTACATATTGGAAAATGTTGGAATGATGGAAATAATCTTATCTTCATAGATTGAAAGACTTAATTTTGTTAACAGGGCAATATTACCCAAAGTGATCTACACATTCAATGCATCCCAGTCAAAATCCCAGCTAATTTTTTGGCACAAGTAACAAAAGAAAAAATCAGACTTCATCGAGTTAAAAAACTTTTGTGCTACACAGAATATCATCAAGTACTTGAAAAGACAACCCACGGAAGAGAAAAAATGATTGTCAGTCACACATTTGATGAGGAACTATACTGAGAATGTATAATGAACACTTACAACTCAGTAATTAAAAGATACATACTATGATTTTAAAATGAGTGAAGAATCTGCATAGACATCTCTCCAAAGAAGATAGAAAAAATGACCAATAAGTACCAAAAGATGGCTCATTGGCCATCAGGGGAGTGCAAGTCCAAATCACTATGAGATACCTCTTCATACCCACTAGTGCGGCCACATCAAAAAGGCAGATAATGACAAGGAGTGCTGAGGATGTGGTGAAAATAGAATCCTCAGACACTACTTGTGGGATTGGAAATGGGGTAGCTGCTTTGGAAAACAGTCTGGCGGTTCCTCAGAAAGTTAAACATAGAGTTACCAAATGACCCAGCAATTCCACTCCTGGATATATATCCAAGACAATTGAAAACATATGTCCACATAAACACTTGCTCACAAAGTTTCATAACAACATCATTTAAAATAGCCAAAAAGTAGAAAAAATTCCAATGTCCATCACCTGGTGAATGGATGAATAAAATGTGGTGTAGGCATACAATGGCACTTTATTCAGCAATATAAAAGAATGAAGTACTGGTACATGCTACAACATGGATGAAGCATGAAAACATGCTAAGTGACAGAGTCCATTCACAAAAGATCACATATCATAATCGTATACCTCAATAAAATGTTCTGTATTGGCAAATCTGTAGACACAGAAAGTAGATTACAGGTTGCCTGGGAAGCAAGTGACTGCTAATGGGAATGGGGTTTTTTTCTTTTTTTAAGTGATGAAAATATTGTAAACTTGATTGTGTGATGATTGCACAATTCTATGAACCTACTAAAAATACCGAATTGCATACTTTAAACAGGTAAGTGGTATGTTAAGTGAATTATAGCTCAATAAAGCTGTTAATATATTTAACCAAATCATTAGCTGTGTTAAGTAATCATAATGCATGGTTAGTAAATGCAACAAATATAGAGAGAATTATAATTCTCATAGTTTTTTTTAGGTCATGAGGTAAAAACCGTCTTTTCTCAGACATGCTTAAGTTCAAAGCAATGGCATATATTAACCATGTAATAAAGTAACAGCATCACTCTGTTAAGGGCACAAACTAAGTCTCAAGTCATTGAATCACAGTGTAGGTTGTGAAAGTAACAATGTACTTAAAGATATGTGTTTATTAATTCATTGAACAGATACTTACTGCAAGCCTATCACGTGGCAAGCATCATGCTAGAGTGGTGGATACAATGGTAAATAACATTGTTTCTGTCATCCAAAATTAATTATGCATACGCGTGCGTGTATGGTGTGGGTGTGTGGGTGCGCGGGCACATGAGCAGGTGAGACAACAGTCCCTTTACTCTGACAGATTGCAGGAGTGGACATCAGGATGCAGTGCATACTTGAGTAAACTTGGAGAGAAATTACAACTTCACTTTGCAAGTAGGCTTATAGTTGGATATTATCTCACTTTATGTGGGACAAGAAATAGATCTTAGACAGGGGTGGGGAGGGGTTCACATGAGGGCCCCTTAAATAATAAGCCACAGGCAGAGCCCTGCCTGTTTGCATAGCCACTGGCACCATAAACACTGGGAGGTCCTTATGCTTCTCTTCAAGAGCGAAATACCACAGGTTTTCTCCTCCTCCATCGTCTCAAATGTGGAGTAATGCTTAACACAGCAGTGAGTAGAACCAAAACTGAAGTCTATATACACCTGGAAAGCAGATGAAACAGAGCAATCAGGGTATACCAAGGTCAAAATTAATTTGAATACATG